ACTGCTGGCCAAACGATAGACGATTTAACTCCACCAGTCACTCCTCAGAAGTAAGATGAGGCCATCTCCTTCTGCATACTTACAGCCGTGGTACTCCTATAGGGCAGTTCTACTCTGATCTATAGGGTCATTAGGAGTTTGAATTGACTCACCAGCAGTGGGTTTGGAGTCACATAATTCAAAAGCCAAGGTTAAAAAAGAGCCTGCACTTTAATCATTAATTAAGTTTAGAAGTTAGAGAAAAGATCCCAAACATTTATACCATATGATCTCTCAAGAGTGCTATGGTTCTAGAGGATAAGCACTGGACTTCAAATCACAAGGTTGGTGGTTCAAGCCCACCAGTTGCTCCACAGAGAGAAAGATGAGGCTTTTCTGCTCCTGCAAAGATTTACACTCTTGCAAACCCTACACGAGGTCGCTATGAATTGATGGCACTTAATAACAATAAATATCTTCCTTGGTCTCTCACTGAATTACACTCAAAATTAAGAACATTACATTTTTGAGCAATAATCACAGCAAATATACCATTCTAGAACAGCCCCAGGTGTATTTCCTTTTACAAGTAATCTCATGGGCTTATTATAACCTACGTCTGACCACAGCTACCAATAACTACAGAAAGTATCCAAAGCATCTTCTCACTCCTTCAGTGACACCCCAAGACTTCTTGCTGTTGTTTTGTGCTGTCGTTAGTTCTGACTTACAGCAACCCTATATAGGGTTTCCAAAGCTGTACATCTTTGGGGAGCTGAAAGCTTCATCTTTTTCCCATGGAGTAGTTGGTGGACTTGAACAAACAACACTGTGGTTTGAAGTCCAGTGACTATCCTAAAGAACTACCACATTCTCACCTCAAGACTATGTATACAAAATTAATCCAGGGTCCCATCATTAATGCAAATCAAATCTAGGGCAAGTAGGAAGAAAGGGGGGGTAGTTTACGTAAAGGGGCTCTGAAAATGAGGATATGCACAGTCTATCGTCTTATTTTTCATCTTGTTACATCTCTCTTCACTTCATACTTTCACCTTTTATCCAAGGCTGATCTTCAACTAGTCCTAGTCACAGTTTCAGTCTTTTCCTAAACTCCCCACCATGTTCTCTTTAGCTACCAAACTATTTTCTTTCTCTACTACCTTTCACCCTAACTAAGCTTACAAATCAGGTGGTCAACACATTTATCCACAATCTTTCCAAACATTCATGGCCTAATTCCCTGGGCAACCAGGTTTCTGTCCAAACTACTCAGCAATTCACCCCTATGTACACCAGAAGTCTTCTGTCAATTCTTCTTCTCAAACCCCTAATCTCACCTGATAGTATTAATTCCTAAACACTAGTAACATGCTTCCCCTTCCTACTAGACAATTCTCCTTTTACCACCAAGCATTCAACAAGTGTCTGCTGTTGGGTGTGCTAAATGTGAGGGCACAAAGATCAGTTAAGTCTACTTCTCTGCTAAGAACCACTAATTGTCTGTTCTCCAAAATATGGAAATTAGTTCAACCACCACCTTCCCGCGCCCCTACCTCTCTCTGCTGGGTTAGATAATTCACTACAACACCTCACAGACTTCATGGACGATACTGACAGTTAATTGGTTTATTAGGGTGAGAGGATAAAACTCAGGTGTAAAAAGATATCACGTGTTCATTGCAAATCACCAGGTAGCCAGACTGGTGCCCAAGAAATTCTCTCTAGAAGACTGAAAGTCAACAAATTTTCAGGTGTAGTCAAGACTCCCTAATAAGAAATCCCCTCCCATTATTTTTCAAAAAAACCAAGGACAAATAAGGGACAGTCACTGCACCACACCTACAAAGATCACCTCTGCCTTCAAAGACCAAAGACAAGCAAAAACTCTTAAAAACAATGTGATCAATGTGATAATTCCTACAACAAACATGCAGAGATGAGGAAGAACACATCAATTATCAATAATGATAATATTGTTGTTAAGTGCTTTTTTTTTTTTTTTTTTTAAACTTCAGAATGTCATTTTATTGAACACACTTTAAAAACAAACACCTCTTGGCAATAAAAGCAAAGAAACAATGGTACTCATTCCACTCTGTTACAGCCTACCAAATTCATGATGAAATGGTAAACAGTTAGGCACTGGGGCTACAGAAAGAGCGCAAATGCAGGTGGTGCCAGCGTCTCAGTGAGGGCTGGAGCAGAGGAAAACACCAAAAAGCAAATTTGCACTCTGTCACAGCTTTAAATCGCAAACTAAAGTTATTTCTCAGAAAAATATCTGTTTGGCAGCTCCTGGACTTTGTTCCATTGGACAATATGGACACTTTCATTTGCTACCATTAAACATTTTATGCAGGGCATCTCTTGATATAATATGACCACAGACCAATTTCATGGGTGGGTGTTTATAGTGCTTTTGAGTCAGTTCAGACTCACTGCAACACTGTACAGGGTTTCCAAGAAGCAACTGGTGAATCTGAACTGCCAACCTTGCAGTTCAAACAACCTGTGTGGTCCAATGCATTATCCCACAGCACCACACCAGGAGTCCAATAATGATATAATGTTGTTAAGTGCCATCGAGTCAGTTCCGACACATACTGACCTTGTATAGGGTTTCCAAGGAACAGCTGGTAGGTTTGAACTGCTGACCAGTGCCACACTAAGTCCAATAATAGGACGATGAAAATATCCTTCATGAGTCTCAAACATTAATTAATCCCCATAACCACACTAACAGGTTGGCATTATTATTCCTATCAGAAGCTGAAAGGGGAAAATTCCTTAATAATTTAATACTAAGATGTGATTGCTGTTATGTGCCGTGGAGTCGGTTCTGACTCATAGCAACCCTGCATAGGGTTTCTGAGGCTGTACATCTTTACGGGAGCAGAAAGCCTCATCTTTCTCCCCCAGAACAGCTGGAAGTTTCAAACTGCTGACTGTGAGATTAGCAGCCTGATTTGTAACCACTATGTTACCAGAGCTCCTTACTAGGATGCTGTGGGTTAATGAGCTGTACTGCAAAGTCGGTTTGAACCACAAGATTGGTGGTTTAAGTTCACCAGCTGCTCCCTAGAAACTCTAATATAGGGTCACTTTGGGTCAGAACCAACTCAACAGCCCTCAACAACAACAACAACACTATTTAGTAGGCAGTTCAGGATTGTGTAATCAAATTTGTCTGATTCTAAAACCTATGCTTTTTCTATGTTAATTAAAAAAAAAAAAAAAAAAAAGTGAGTCAGAAAGAAATCCAAGTTAAAGGCACCTACTTAAGATTTCAAAGGCGCTCTGGTAGCATAGTGGCTCCGAGTCAGGCTGCTAATCTCACGTTCAGCAGTTTGAAACTAACAACTAGCAGTTCTGCGGGAGAAAGATGATGCTTTCTGCTCCTGTAAAGATTTACAGCCTGAGAAACTCTATACAGGGTCACTATAGGTTAGAACCGACTCAGTGGCACTTAACAATAACAAAAACAGATGAGTCCTTGTGTGGTGCTGTAGGATAAGCATGGAATTGCTAACTGCAAGGTCTGTAATTCAAAAGCACCATCCAGTCTCAGAAACCCTATACAGAGTTGCTGTGAGTCATTCCCCCCACTTTCTTCATGGTACACAAAATAGCATCTCCTAGAATTTCTGCTGCTTAGCTCTATTAAAATAAGGCAATTTCCTCCTAAACTTAATCCTCAAATTTAAATCCCTCTGAACTGCCACGATCTCATCATTCCATAGTATCTTCCATTTTCCCTGTCATCACTCTAGTTTGAGGTTGCATCAGCTGTGCACAAACTAAATACCCTCCTGAATTCAGTTCTTCCCTATTCCAATTCTGCTGCTACTACCCTTTTCTTAAAAGCAGCTCCTCACTGAATGTAAGTCAGAGTCCAACCGAGCTTTTCAAAGACTTCCAAGATTTGGCCTAACCTGACCTTTACGGACTGTGTTATTAATCAGCTTAAGCCTGCGACTCACCATCCGTATGCTGTGATGCAATACAAGTTGCTGTGATGCTGGAAGCTCTGCCACTACTGTTATTTCAAATACCAGCAGTGTCCCCCCATAATGGACAGGTTTCAGAAGAGCTTCCAGACTAAGACTAGGAAGAAAAACCCGATAATCTACTTCCAACACTTAGTTGAGGAAACCCTACGGATCACAACAGAATATGGCCAATACAATGCTGGAAAATGAGCCCCGTAAACTGGAAGGCACTCACAACATACAGTGGCCGCAGCAAAGGATATAAGCATGCCAATGATCGTTAGCATGGGGCAAGACTAGGGTAACGTTTTCTTTTACTGTACATGGGGTCACCATGAGGCAGAGTCAACTCAACAAGATGGCACCTAGTAACACACATAAAGCATTCTACTCAAACCCTTCCTGTGTCAAATTCTTCTATTCCCCAAAATACTCTAACCTCCATTAACATCACCAGTTCAACCCACCCTGATGCCAATCAAACCAAATGTTAACACTTACCTCAAGCTTCATTAGCTTCATTAAAATCACCCTAAGCCACTCGACCCTTATGAAGTTCCAGAACCATGTACCCATCTTAAAACACTTTAAACTTCTCATGAAAAAGTGTTTTATTTCCACAATGAAAGTAAAAGGACCAGAGATCTTGTACTAAAGCAGAATAGCACAGTAGTTAATTACACAGCCTGTGGAGCCAGATTATGTGTTTGACCCTCAACTCCTTATCTTTCTGTGTGACCTTGGACAAGTTTCTTAACCCCACTTTGCTTCAGCTTTCTCATTTGTGAATCAGTTCCTACATTAGTGCCAACCTCAAAAGTCTGTTGTTGAGAGTTAAATAAGCATGTAGAACTATCCATGACACAGAATTAAGGACCTTATTGCTATCATGTTTACTAATAAGAAAATAAAAGTGTTGAAATGCTATAGACAAAGAATTCATGTTCACAGATTCTAGAGTTTTGTAACTGAGACCAGCACAAGAGGTAAGTGAAACTTTTGGAGCCTTGAGAATAAACAGGTACTTACTGAGCATCCCTCTATAATTGAGGTCCATATCCCGGCTCTCTGATCGGACTTTAATAGCATCCAGAATGGCATCAGGAGACAGCAGTCCGGAAGGCCTCACGACATTCAGGAGCTCAGTGAGACTCATCAGAGGTAAACGCACAGCCTGCATGATTTCAGCGTGATTCTCCTTTGAATTGTGCTTACACCAGTTTAACAAGGCTAGGAAAATGTCTTTCTCAGGAGCTGCAAATGAATCTCGTAATACGATGTTTAGAAGTGCCGTCTGAAAAGCAAAAAAAAGGAAAGATTGCACTTACTATGGAGTCCAATCAGCAAAACCTTACAACAGAAGTGCACGTATCACTTATATTTAAGACAACTCTTTTTGACTCTCTCCTTTGTGCCATATACCTCCTGCCAGTTATGGCTGAATGAATGGCGCCTTTCTTTCCTTCTCCCCAGGCACTGTGTATTATTACAGTAAACATCTAGTCTTTCCAAATACATCTGCAGCCATCATTGGTACCAGTGAGGAGACAAAGGGCAAGGGAGGTGCTGACAGTACACATGGGTACTATCCCACCCTTACTACTGAGTCCATTCCAACTCACAGCAATCTTAAAGGCTAGAGTAGAACTGCTCCATAGGGTTTCCAAGGCTGTGTATCTTCTCTGCAGGGGAGGGGGAACAGCCTCATCTTTTTCCCAAGGAGCAAGCTATGGGTTTGAACCACCAACCTATCAGCAGCCCAAAGTTCAACCCACTATTCCACCAGGACTCCCTTCCTAGGTACTCTAGGAAGATTTAGATTTGTAAGTCAGTAAGATATATCCAGCATTGAAAATTCAAGACCTTCTGTTCCACTGTACTGCACTGCACTTGCATATTTTGGATCATCAGTCTGCCCTCCCTCTAGCAACACCTCCAAGAACCATGCCCTTAAAAATTAACTTGTTGTTAAGTGCCATCAAGCAGATTCCAACTCATAACAACCCTATATAGGGTTTCCAAGGAGTGGCTGGTGGGTTTGAATTGTGGCCTTGCTGTTAGAAGTCCAGTGCTTATCCTACAGCACCACACCAGGACTCACAGTTCACATCCAAAACAAGATATGTTAGCTATTCAATACATTTTCTCATTGGAAATATCCAGGTACTGGTGTAATGTGGCAGGATCAGCACTGGATTGCTAACCACAAGGTCGGGAACCCTATACAGGGTCACTGTAAATCTAAACAACACTCAACAACAGCAACAACAGGAACAACACAGATAAACCATAACTTAAGATTTAGAGAAAGACTTCACTAAAAGGGCTTCACACTATAACAGTGAATTGTGAGCCAGCAAAAGAAACAGTAATTCGAAACTCAAAGACAGCCAATGACTCACAGTCCTTTTTGCATGTAAAACTGACCAGCAGAACCTTCAAAGAAATGAGACCTGATTTGCTGATTCTCTTATATGATCTAGAGTCCTATTAGCCAGAGGCCAAAGGCCAGAGCAGCCAACTTCTTCCATACCAATGAGTTTTGTTTTATAATTCTTAGTCCATTACTGTATTTCTAAGGCACAGGAATAAATACAACAATGTAGACAATGGCACACCTTAGAAAGGGAGAGGAAGCCTTCGCTGGAGAGCACCTCCTGAGCATTCCTGTCCATGAACATGCAGCACATACACGTTAACTTGGGAAGCGAGTAGAGACTGGCAACATCAAAGGTCATACAGACATTCTGAATGTTAAGTATGGTGCACAGATACTCAGAGGTAGAATCTTCCAGCTCTGGAAATCCATATTTATGAGCCAGGCTCAAAAAATCAAGCAGCACCTCCTCCTTCTCATCTGTCAGCGTGGCTCGCCCAGTGTAGATGTATTTCAGCAGCATTGTGAATGCTTCTGCAGTGGTGTCCTGGAGGGGAATTTCGGCTTCAGGCTGAGACTCTCGCATGCCACCATACAGTAATGCTCTGCACATCGGAGAACAGAGGAAGAAACAGAGAATAAACACAGGAAACGCTCAAATAGGATTGGCTTCAATGACATAAAAAGACCCAGGTTAAAAAATACAAAGTCATCATCTTAAATGAGTCTATGAAGAAAGCAGCAGAAAACAATTTAATTCTGAATTAATTCTATAAACAGTTGGGCTAATAAGCTATCCTGAGTGCTCAAGCTACATAGTGGGTGGTAGTTGGTTCTGACTCATAGCAACCCACACAGGGTTTCTGAGGCTGTAAATCGTTAAAGGAGCACAAAGTCTCATCTTTCTCTCATAGAGCAGCCCGGCAGACTCAAACTGCTAACCTTGTGGTTAAGTGCCGTCGAGTCGTTTCTAACTCATAGCGACCCTGTATGGGGTTTCCCAATTTGTAACCCACTTGTTACCAAGGCTCCCCTTTGCTCAAGCTATACAACAGACATTAAATAGAAAGAGATCTTTTAAGGAACAGATGAATTCAATGTAAAAATATTAAATGTTCACCTGGCAGTTAAAAATTAAAACTACAGAAAAAGATGTAATCAGAAACAAAATTGAACACCAACCACATTGCATTCTTCTCACTTAGATTTGGCAGAAATTTGTAAAGCCTATTAAGATCCATTACTGCACAAGCAATGGAAAAACAAGCAAGTTCACGCACTGCTTTAAGAGCATAAAAGGGTGCCCCCCTTCGGAAAATGATTTACCAATTTAACAACATTAATTTAAAATGTACACACTCTTCAATTCAGCAATCAATTCTAGAGAACTTAATTCTAGAGAATTAATTTAGCAAGGGAGTCATGATGTGGCACTGAAGGATAATTCACTGGGCAGCAAGGCTGGCAGGTCAAACTTGCCAGCCACTCCTCAGAAACCCTATACAGAGTCACTATGGGTCAGAACCAGCTTGACGGCACTAACAATTTAGCAAAATATAGGTAAATGGCTAAGTATACCAAAATCCTGGAAACACTGGATAAAACTCGAAATGTCCATCAGTAGGAACATGGGAGAAAAACCAATGCCACACAGACTCTATGCAGCCATTAGAAAGATCAAGGGAGGCCAATATGCATTGTCTTGGAAAGATACCCAAGATTAAAAGGAGGACATCTTTTCAATTGAGGAAGTCAAGATACAGATCCACATGCTCTGGATGGGGAAAAAAAAGTGCATAACTCGATAGTTATATGTGTATGCATATGGATATATACAGATACAAGGGGGCTTCAAAAAGTCAGGGGGGAAATTCCATTATCTTTTAATTCTCTTTTCCACCAACATTTTGAAGCCCCCTCATATATATGTTTATTGTTGCTGTTAAGTGCTGCTGAGTCAGTTCTGACTCAGTGCAATCCTTTATAGGGTTTCTGAGGAGCAGCAGGTGGGTATGAACTGCCAACCTGTGGTTCGTAGTCCAGTGCTGGTCTTACAGTGCTAGGAAAATCAGAGAAATCTCAACTTACAGTTGTCTTCTGGGGAAAAGGATTAGACGACTGAAGAGAACTTTGTTCCTTTATACTTTAAAAATAAACTTAGTGATAGGATGGTAATTCTTTTTGTATTCAGTATTGTTCAGATTTTTAAAAAGTTACACATTCCCACTCATCTTAAAAATTAAAACTAAACAATCAAGGCAGGCAAAAAAATTAAATTTCACCTTCTATTACTCCAAGTGGTGAGGATTTTTGTTTTCTTTACATTGAGATGTAATCCACACCAAAGGATTCGGTATGGATTACATCTGAATGTAAAGAAAACAAAAATCCTCACCACTGGACCAATAAACAATATTCGTATCAGTGGAGAAAAGATTGAAGTTGTCAAGGACTTCATTCTTCTTGGACCAACTATCAACACTCACGGAAGCAGCAGTTAAGAAATCTGACGATGTATTGCTTTAGGCAAATTGGCTGCACAAGACCTTTTTAGAGTTTGAAGAACAAAGATATCAGCTTGAGGACTAAGGCGAGCCTGATCCAAGCCATGGTATTTTCAATAACCTCATATGCGTGCGAAAGACTAGACAGTAAATCAAGAAGACTGTAGAAAAATTGATGCTTTTGAGTTATGGTGTTGGAGGAGAATATTGAAAGTGCCATGGGCTGCCAAAAGAACCAACAGATCTGTATTGGAAGGAGTGTAGCCAGAGTGCTCCTTGCAGACCAAGATGGCCAAACATCGTCTCTGATATTTTGGACATATTGTCAGGAGGAAGCAGTAGCTGGAGAAGAATATCATGTTTGGTAAGGTGGAGAGTCAGAGAAAAAGAGGAAGACCCCAATGAGACGGATTGGCCAAGTGGCAGCACTGATGGACTCAAGCGTAATAACAGTAGCGAGGTTGGCTCAAGATCAGGCAGTGTTTCATTCTGCTGTGCATAAGGTCACTATGGGTCGGTGGCACCTAACAATTACTCTTAAGAGATATAAGACAAACCAATTAAACCTCTAATTCTGTAAGAAAGAAAAACAACAGAGGAGAACATGGGAGGAGCACAGAAAAAAGACGGAAGAGTAGAATAAGAAAGAAAAGAAGTGAGAATAAAACAGTCCCTCCATGACTAGAATTTCAGAGGTTTCCACCATATCTGCCAGGAACTTCTCCCACCTACTATCATACCTGGCATTCTTGCAGTTGGTGGTGGTTGTGTGCTGTGAAGTCGGTTCCGACTCATAGTAATGAGGCTGTAAATCTTTATGGGAGCAGAAAGGCTCATCTTTCTCATACAGAACAGCTGGTTAAGTTTGAACAGCTGACTTGGAGGTTAAGCAGCAGGTGAGACTACCTAGCACAAGATTCACAAATATGCGCAGCATACCACCTCACTGAGCCTAAAAACAACTCTGAAGGTTTTGACCAGAAAGCATCCAACTGGAATCTTTAAATTACTAAACTACAGAATTTGCTGGGGTAACTCAGTAAGACTTACCCCTTCTCTCCAGTGGTTATTTTTCTGGATTTTCAATGGTTATGAAGAAGGCTCGGAAGTGGTTTGACCAAAGAAGCTAAGAATTTGCATTCTTGATGTGTTGCTGTAGGATAAGCACTGGACTGCTAACCTCAAGGTGAGTCATTTAAACTCACCAGTCACCCTTTAGAAACCCTATACAAGGTCACTATGAGTCAGCACCAATTCAGCAGCACTTAACATCACCAATCACCCCAGATAAACTGAATCAAAATCTAAATTTTAACAAGATCTCCAGGTGATTCTTGTACATTTGTTAGATTATGGGGCTCTTGTTAAAATGTAGTTTCTGATTCATGTGGTGGGGGAGGGCAGAAATGCAAATGCTTAGTAGGGAGTCAAACCAGAATGCAGTAGTTTGAAGTCCTGGTTAAAGCAGTTCACTTAGAACAGTAAGTGGTGGTGTGCTGAGGAGTTAGTTCCACTTCATAGTGATCCTGCATAGGGTTTCCAAGCCTTTCAAGTCTTTAGGGGAGCAGAAAGACTTACATCTTTCTCCTGAGGAACAGACAGTAGTTTCGAACTGCTGACCTTGAAGTTAGCAGCCTGACTCGTAACCATTATGCTACTAAGTACAAACCCACAATTGGACAATGAGTCAAGACAGAGGCTAATGTTTACTGTGAAAAGTCCTCTCTGTACAGTTAACCTGTCCTTATCAGGGAATTTGGAGTTCTTGGGTAATGCAAATAGCTAAGTGGACAGCTACTACCCAACTGAACCCACCCAGAGATGCCTAGAAATAAAACTCTGCACATATGCTTCCAAAAGCTCACAGTCATGACACCTCTATGGCATGCAGGTGTACTCTGCAACACAAAGGGTCTCCATGTGCTGGAATCTACTTGAGGAAAATTGGTTTTACCTGGGAATTGATTTGCTCTTACTACCACACTTAGGCCTCTCAAGTGCTAACAGATGATTCTCCTTTGCAATGAGAAATATCAGTGATGAGAATTTGTCTGATAACATTGGTAATGACATTTAGGTTAGCCTAGCACCCCATCAAAGAACACAAAGATCCACAAAGAGACATCAAGAACAGGGTCAATTAAGGGAGGCCAACTCAGAATGATCTTCAAAATTCTAAATTTATTTGAGTTTCTTTTAAAAAAATATACTGATAATTTCAAATTGTTTTTGAAATAGAGTAAGTTATAAAATATTAAACACAAAGTTGAAAAGTTCTGCTTTAACAGAATGCACTGTTAAAAACACTTCAACAGTACTGAAAAGAGCAAAAGCTAAGAAAAAGGAAAGACATACCAAATGGAAAGTGTGCAGAGGACAGAAGTCTGGTGTCCAATGACTAGACCAGAGGCTTTGGAAGAGCTGACCACTGGGAGGAAGCATGGGTGAGGAGCTGTTAGCGAGAACTCTTAGCAAACTTATCTTTTCTAAGTTCCTAGATTCTTCTATAACAATACTGCATATGTAAAAGAATGAATTGTCTTGATAAAAGTTCTAGCTAAAGAGTAGATATTTTTAAGAGAAATGCATGGTTGTTGTTAAGTGCTATTGAGACAACTCATAGTGACCCTGTCGTACAGGGTTTCTAAGGAGCAGCTGCTGGGTTTGAACTGCCAACCTTGTGGTTCCAGGTCCAGTGATGATCCTACAGTGCCACAAAAGGAGTCCAATGTATGGTATGTGACTACAAGTATTGCTCTCCTTCTCGATTGGTTAATTCCAAGAGTAAAAACAGTGGTTTCTGAGGGCATCTATCTGTTGGACTAGTTCAATTCAAGGCAAAGAGGTCACTTCAGAGCTTATGGAGACTGATTTTTAGGACTCCAAAGAGGTAATCTTAGGAACCTAGATCCAGAGGGCACGGAGGAAGGTAGAATCTCCAGTGAGTAGTATTCAATCTGTCTAGGCAGGGCTCATGCAATGAAATGAAGAGGGGTCTCTTGTGATACAACAGTGAATAATTGTTATCAGGACTGATTGTTAAGGTTGGAAATGTAAAGGTAGACATTTTATAGCAAGGAAGGGAGTGATTAACTTTTCAGTCTAGGAGTGGAAGACCCTAGGACCATCAA